TGTGATCGTTCTTCAATTTTCATTTAACTTTAAAACAAACTTATCTTATAATTTTATCTTAACTAAGCTTATCTGTATGAAAATATTGAAAAAGGTCATTTATTATTCACCGATTCGAGATAATAGTCATTATTATTATTATTATTATTATTATTATTATGGTGATGATGATAATGATGATGATGATGATTGATTATGTTTATTACAGAGTTGGCAACAGCCACCAACACTTGTACTTGGGGATTCTATATGTGTGCTAGTAATTCCCAGTGCATACAAAGTAGAAACAGATGTGACGGTATAATCCAGTGTAATTATCGAGAAGATGAAACAAACTGCCCGACAAGTAAGTAATGAGATAATAAATAATACTAACATGATATCATAGATAAAATTAGACATTTGTATATATTTTATAGAGGTTATTTTATGATAAAATTCGTTGGATAGAAAGGACTTCAGAAATCCATGGCTCAAACTTACTATGTCAGGAACTTGAGCGAACGAATTTACCACGGCCGAAATTCTAGCCTATAGTACAGTTCGGTGGCGCAGCTCAACGGGGTCAAACTAAAAGCAATGAACCAACTTAGCTCTTGTGGCGACTGGAAATCGAATGCTTGACTACATAAGCGAAGCAAGATTTTTTAATCACGTACAATTGTGAATTTTCGCGCCTTCCTCACTCATGTAAACTATGATAAAATCATTAACGTACCATAAGTAATATATTATTAAATCATTTCAACTACTCTTTTTAAGGGTGTTCAGGCTATTCTAGATACTTCAGGTGCAGCAATAATAACTGCATATCAAGGAGCTACTTATGCAACGGTGTTAATAACTGCGCTGACGGTTCCGATGAATCCACCGCTCTTTGCGGCGGTACAGGTAAATGATATCTTATAACTACTAATTATACAGCTTCTCATTAATCCCATATAGGTAACTGTCCAATTATTTTCTTAATTGGACAGGTCTTGTTGATATGGGATTAATTAGGCACCTATATAATTAATAGGTAATGGGATTTCATGCTCCCCAATCAAGAAATAATTAGACTCGAAAAATTCCTCTGAATGCCAAATTGGACTCGGCCTACCACCTCGGAATTTTCCTCGTCCAATTAATTCTTAATTGGACAACATGGAGCCCTATTACATATACTAATTTAATAATAATAATAATAATAATAATAATAGCAAATTAATTAATTAATTAATAATAATAACAATAATAATAATAACAATAGTGATAATGATAAAAGATAAAATAAAGACGCTAGTAATCACATTCCTTTGTACACTATGTACACCACACTACACCACACTACACTGCGCTACACTACCCTGCCCTACCCTACATTACACACTACACTACTTTACACTACACTACACTACACTACCCTACACACCACACTACACCACACTACACTACACTACCCTACAC